AAACAAAGATATTTTAATTATCTTCCAGTATATTTTAAATATTGAACCACCTAAACAAAGTTCAGTTCAAAGACTTTACATTACACCACAAAAACTATGTATGAAAATGGAATCTGGTACTTCTTTAAGGTCTTGAATGAGGTATACAAAACATGGTCTTTTTACCCCACAACAGTAGATAAAGTCGACACTTAAATTTTTAAGTAAAAAATGACTGGAAAATCAGCATCAATAATCTATTTTTACATCTTATATGGTTTATCTATTTTTTGTAAATATTTAAACAATTTTTCAAAAATCTTTCCCAAGTCAGTGGCCTGTGGTCAATACATTTCTAACTACCTTACTGTAATTTAGTAAAAAGAACGTTTTGAAGCAGTTTTTGCCTACAAAAAGTTTAGGTTATTTGAAAAACATTAAAAAGTTAACCAAATTATAACAAATCATCACATTCTGTCCTGTTCCTATACTGTTAGTTGAGCATGTGCTTATTTGTTGAAAAACAAAGCTAAAACAATTATATTTATCAAGTGTCGGGGTTATCTATGCGTCGGAGTTATCTCTCCGACCAGTAGATCTATTAAAACACTTTTACATTGGGAAACAGGGCTGTTAGTAGTAGGAGGCAGAAACCCAAAATAACAGTCTCAAAGGTATTTTGAGATGCCTTAGTTCTTTAACAAATATGTTGTATGTGATATTTAAACCAGAACCCCGTCCCTAGATTTGCCACTACTTGCCAGCTATTTCCACTGAAAAGGGTGGCATTAAGTGTAAAAAAGGTGGCATTAACTGGAAAATGACAAAATTCCACTCTTTTTCCACTGTAGTGGCAAAATTGCCACCAAATGCCACTATCCTTTGGTGACATTTAGGTGGCATTGAGTGAAAATATGAACATAGACTTTTTTTATGGTGGCAAAAGGGTGGAAATTGGTGAAAAATGAAACTTAGTTTATTTTGAAGGTGGAAAATGAGTGGCTTTTAGTGGAAAAGTGAAACTCTAACTATTTTCTGGGTGGCAAAATAGTGGAAAAAAAACTTAGAAAATTTTGTGAATAACTTTAAGTCGAAAAGGGAAACTCTTAACTATTTTCTGGGTTGTATAAAAATTGGTGGAAAAAACTGAGAAATCTAATAATTGTGCATTGCAGGGTTTAAGATTTATTTAAGTCAAAGCTCCAAACTGAAATAAATCTGTTTATTGTTTGTACTCTACCAAAGCATCAAGTGAACTTTTTATCAAAAATATAATTTATTGAAGTTGAACAGTTAGAAAATTTTATCAGAAACTCATATTTCTTAAACATACTAGAATGCCATGAACACAATTCTGATACAAAGTCACTGCCTCACAGTAACGGTATGATAATTCCAGCTGTAAAGTAGCAGGAAAAGACACAGAAATTGGACGTAAAATCACTTTTCCAGGCGTTAAACACATATAATTATGATCAGGAAAAAATTAGAAAAGTATGGGGTTACTTAACTTCCCATTTTTTATGGCAGTACTTTTCTTTAGGGATGTAAAATTTGACTTTCAAGTCAAAATGTTTATGTTCCATTCTATGCTTGTAAAATAAAATTACGGCTTTTAAAGTGTACTTTGTTCTTTAGTTATAATCTGTACATTAATTAAATAGTTGAAATGTTCTTCTATGCCCAGAAAATGCATATCTCTGCATAAAGTTTGTTGCTTCTTCTATGATATTTAATGTCAATCTTGAATAAAGTTTGACTTTTGTCTTTTCTTCTAATTGACATAATAAATTGTCTCTTCAATATTACTTTAAACTGATATCTGGTGAGTACTAACACTTTTCATGTAATGCTTACAATAATTAAAGTGAAAAATGCAAAGGGCAATAACTCCAAAAGTATGCAAAGACTGTTATGGTTCTTAAACAAAGCACATTACTCAAAAAGATCTATATCTGTGAAGTTTCAAATTAATATCTCCAGTACTTTTTAAGCTTATGATCAAGACAAAAATTAAGCATAGAGAAGTAAAAAATGGCAATAAACCCCAAATCATGCAATAAAAAGTTATGGTTCCTTGGCATTGTAACTTCTCATAAATGAGATTTAGTTATATGTGGAGTTTAAAATTATTGTCTCTAACATCTTTTGTGCTATGCTTTCAGAGGCTTTATATCTATTGTAAAAATTAATGTGTGAAAAGTAAATAAGTCATAATGTCTGATAAATTTCTTACAATCAGGATAAGTAAATACTAGCTAGTAAAATACTGCATCCTCTAAGATTTAACAACACAGCATACATCTCAGATCTGATAAAACTACTGCCCTCTTATCTAGTAATCTATGAATGGGGGTTAATAGTTTACTCATGCTGACCAGAATGTTCCATTTGATTATTTTGGGAGAGGCAACATTATACATGTTTTTATGTAGAATTTGTCTTAAAATAGCATGCTAAATTATCTTTCAAAAGCTTATTTCTACTCAATCTATTTTAGGTATTAGATATAGTTATACAATCAAATGAATGTAAAAAATAAAATGATGGGTGCTATGGTTTTTGGAAAATCCCTCACAATTTAAAATTATAATGGACTGTCCATGCAGTTACACCGTTGTAAAGTTTGAATTCAAAGGAATTGAGGTCAGTTAAAGCTTGCAAACACAAAGGAAATTATTGATATTGTAGCAATTCTGGAGATATTTTGTTTAAAATGTAAGGGTGCATATTTTTGATTTCTCAAAGAAAACATTTAAAGTCTTATTAGTGTGGTAAATAGAAATGAGAAGTTTTAACTGAAGTGTGAATGTGTAGACAAGAAGATAAACAGCAGAATCATTCCCAGTCAAAGTTTCAGGTAAACAACTTTTACATACAATAATTATTGTTATTTATGCAGAAACGGTTTAGTTTTTTGACAGTAAAAATATGAAGTGGTATTGTATAAAATTGTGTTTTATATTCGTTTTGTTTGTAACTTGACTAAAAAGAAAGCTGCATGTACAATGTACATATAAAGAATGTAGGAATATAAAGAATGTAGGAAGATCTTCATCATTTCTTAAATACAATATGTTAGAAATTTTAAGTTTGAGAACAAAATTATAGAAATTAATCAGTAAGTACAATATCATTATGTACAATAATACATCAATCAAACTATAGATAACCTGAGGTACTTATTACTACAACTTTCATGCTATAAACAATTTTCCTTGTGTGTCACATGTGGAGCAGATTAACAGTAACTGATTTATTATTAAGTTTCATTCCTTCATTGTTGTAATTCAGCTTTCATGGTGCAGTAGATAATTATATAACCATAACTAGACAGTCTAGAGTAACATGCTATTAGGAGAATGACAGTTCATAACAGAAACAGCATTAAATAAGAATTATTATTTTGCAGACACAAAGCAATGAGGAGCAGCCTGGAGCAACACATTTGATCTTCAGTGGCTTTACAAAGGTATCTTGTTAATTCAAAGTTATTTTAGAATTAATAGGAAAAAAGTGTCACAGTACCCAATAAGACACTTTTCAGTTCTTGATACATATAACTATTAGTCACTATTTACAAACCTACTTTAATTCAAACTCTTTATGACACTTTAATTTGCATTTACATTTTGTTTTACAAATTTTAGAGTTTTTGTACATTTTAGCTTGAAAATTTTATCAAATATTTATCCTGATGAAGGTTCGTTAAGAACTGAAACTGGAAGATTATTAATTACTCAACCTGCACTGGTGTTGATGTGTTGTATTTCTTTATTTCTTTCTTATTTTAAAATTTTAGAGTTGTATACATATACCAAGGTCTTATAAAAGTGTTTCATTTTCTGTCTTTACATATTAGATATTGATAATCATTTTCTGTCTTTACTTATTTGATATTGTTAATCATATTTTAGGACCAAGTGATGGCAGAACTGAAGCCATATGCCTCAAAAGAGAAAGGTACAACAAGGCTCTTCAGAATGCTATTCAATATAGAAGAGATTAAAGGCCGCTCATTGTTTGGTATGAGGAAAGGGAACAGAGAGTCTGACGCCAGACCTTCTTGTGCAGACAAGGCAAAACTTAAGTTCTTGGAAGGTAACTAATGAACTGAATGAAAATATCATTTTTGATTCTGCGTATATTTTCTGCCTTGGAGTAAATAAGAAAAGTCTGATTCTTCCACGTCTGCAGTGCTGTTTTTTAAAGTGTTTTAATCATATCTATGCACTCAAATTGAATATAGAAATATCCAATAGTCATATAAAAATGTAAGCTTATGTTTTTAATTATTGTATTAATCATTCATAATTTTTTTTGTTTTAGATTGTGCGCTCGAAAAGTTGCCGACAACCTAAAGGACTGAACTCAAACCGTCCAGGAATAGCAAGATAAACTGAAGAAAATAAATGGACTAATGTTTTGCTATTTTTGAGACAATATATAATTTCATATGGAAACATTAAAAAGGATTATTTTTAAAATTTGTTTGTTTCCAATTTAGGGTACAGGGTGACTTTAAAGCAGTTTCCAGCTATTGCCACCCACAAGGTGGAAAATTTCTGAAAGGGTGAAAATAGGTGGCATTTAGTGGAAACTGAATTTGCCACTATCTGGTGGCAAAATGGTGGAAAAGTGTCTAAATACTCCACCAATTTTCCACCCTTATGGTGGCAAAAGGTGGAAATAAGTGGCATTTGGTGGAAAATAAGTTTGCCACTCAATGGTGGCATAATGGTGGAAATTTGTCTAAATACTCCACCAATTTTCCACCATTATGGTGGCAATAAGTGAAAACAAGTGGCATCTAGTGGAAAATGAGTTTGCCACCCTAAGGTGGCATAATGGTGGCATTATGGTGAAAGTTTGTCTAAATACTCCACCAATTTTCCACTCATTGGTGGCATTTAGTGTAAAAAAGGTGGAATTAACTGGAAAATTATATAACATCAGTCCTGCTCAAATTTTTCATCATTTTCATGATTTGGGTGGCGTTTTGGTGGCGTTTTGGTGGCATTATTGGTGGAAAATTGTCTAAATACTCCACCATTGAAAAGGGTGGCATTTTAGTGGCAAATCTAGGGACACAGCCTCAAATTCAAAACAGAATATTTTAAATCATAATGACCACTTTAACTTAAGAAGGTGGCGCGATAGCTCAGTTGGTTAGACCACAAACTGTCACTCCTGAGGTCCCAGGTTCTATCATGGGTATCACTATTGGGATTTTTCTAGAGATCCTTTCAGTGTTTCCCACTTACCTAAATGTGTACTGGTAAGAAATCCAGGTAATCCTCGCTTTTATCAGTGCTATACACTGGGCATGTAAAAGAACCAAGGCATGAAGGGGTCTATTCAATAGAGCTAGGGACTGGCTCCCGGATTTCCTTGTATCTCATAGCTGTCACTGAAGTCAAAGAGTCATGTCTAAATCCCCTCGAGGGATTTGACATTAATGGAAGATAAATAGATAGATAGAGAAAAAAAATGTGTTGACGAGTGATCTAGAGTTGTTCTATTGTAAGACAGTTTCAACAACTATTTAAGAATTAATTGTTTTACATGATTAATTTTATTTATATTTTCACATTTGTTATTTTCAGGGGATCTGCTATTGCAAAAATAGTGGGACAAAATGTTGTGGAGAAATCAGACATATTTGAGACAAGGGTCAACATGTACATGTATGAAGAGAATTTTGAAGGCAGGAAACTCACAGAAGTCGTTAATGAAAAACATGAGAATGTTAAGTACCTGCCTGGGGTGAAATTACCAGAAAATGTGGTATGTTTTAAAATGGACATATATCTATGCATTTAAAAATACTTTAATATTGTTCTAGTGTCTTGCATCCCTGGCAAAAACCTTCTCAGAGAGAAATTGAAAAAGTCCATTAGGTCAGCAGCCTATTGCGCCATATCAGAATACAATAACACAAGCAGTGTCACTAATTTTTCTGTATATGTATCTTAGAATGGAAATCCCTACAACAACATAGGCTACATGATTAATTTACCTCATCCTTCAAATATAAAGACCAAGTAATTGCAGTGGACAAAAGCAGCCTTATCCCCATCTAGAAACCTGAACTTTAATATCTTGAACCAACTACTCTAACTCCACCTTCTCATTAACTTTAATTAAGGCTATGAAATTCCCTACTGCCATCTTTAAAATCTAGACCCAGTCTTGGAATTTTCTCTTTGAGACTGGTTGTTGGTATTCTATAAATTTTTGCTTGCTTTTTGTATTAACAGTGTTACAAGTGTACAATGAAATTATACTTATTGTTACTGTCTATTACTATTCATAAGACATTTCAATCTTTACAAACTGTTTCCCAACTATTAGCTTATTATACCAATCATAATTGGAGAAAGTTGTAACATACAGATGTAGGTTTATTAACGTTAATATCCTTCACAGCTGAGTGGTGTAACTTAAGTGGAAGAGTTGGTCCTTACTTGTGGAGGTTAGATGATTTGTACTGAGAAAAAAAATCTAGGAACACTGGTTCAGGACTTTGCTTTCCATAATAAGACACAAACCAGAGTATAAACCTTGTTTAAATCTGGACCAACAAACTTGATCCTGATTGACAAATAGTTAAGTCTATAAGCTGAAGCTGACCTTGTTTATCAGTCGTCGAAATCTTAAAAATTTTATAAGTCTGCATGTATATTATTTTGATTAACATGTTGTTTGTTTTACTACAAAATGTGGTAATTTATATTTAAAACTTTGTTTATTAAATTTTATAAATTCACACAGGTAGCTATGCCAGATCTTGTTGAGGCGTGTAAAGGTGCAGATATTCTGATATTTGTAATGCCACATCAGTTTGTTAGACAAACATGTAAAACCATGCAAGAACATATCAAAGACTCTGCTCTAGCTGTGTCATTAATTAAGGGTATGTTTTATCTTCTTTTGTTTTTTATGCCCACACAGGGGGGGGGGGGGGGGGGGGGGGAAGGGAGGATGGTTGCTATTCAGTCATTACTAATTATGAACATTTTCCCTAAAAATGTAAAAATGTTTCGTCCAGAATGAAACACAGACAGGTCTATATATTTTTGTTTCAATGTTAGTGAAATTTTACTTGTTCAATGTAATTCATTGTTTTGGGCAAACCATTAAATATTTTACTCACTAAAATTGACAGATATTTTCAAAGCAATTATTGAGATAAAGTCTTTTTTTCAGTTTAAATCAATGAAAGTTTTGATTTAATTGATTAGTTTAAATTTTCAAATGGTGACCGACACGTTTAGAAGGATAATGCCTTTTGCAATAATTTCAAAGCAGTTTACTTTGTCATTGTAGGGTTTCGATAAAGCCCCGGATGGTAAACCAGGTATTGCTATGATCTCCAACATGATAGAAGAAATACTAGGTATAGATTGTGCCGTGCTGATGGGGGCTAATCTCGCCCCAGAGGTCGCTGATGAACAGTTTTGTGAGGCTACTATAGGTAACGAATTCAATTTATGTTCATACTGTTGTATTTCAAAATAAGCCATGTTTAAGCCAATTATGACTTGAAAATTTTACACCTTGTGCCTGGCTACAAGTTTGATTTCCACTCATTATGGTGTTTCATACAGTCCATATTCAGGTCAGAAAGGTAGACTTTTTGAATATTGTGGTATTTGTTTATTTGTTTTAACCTTGTAAGGAGGGTTTTAGAAAGTGCTTTTTTAACTTAAATATTATAAGATACAGTATGACCTTTGTAGAGCAACACCATTGGGTGACAAAGATTATAATTGTTGCCGAGAGAGGTTAAATATATTTCAGTCCATCCACTTAAGCTCAATAGGGAGGGCATCAGATTTGTAATCCAGGAGGTGCTGGTTAGATCCTGAGTGTAGGCAAAATTTTACTGTGACAATTGACTGCTGAAATTGAGTCTGATTGATAGATCTCCATGTGTACTTTTGTAAACAAGTACATTGTGGAAATTTTTTTTTGTAATCCACTTATCTGATGGTTTGAATAAGTTAGAGGAGGCTTATGTAGGGATCTGTGGATGGTAGTTTGTTTCTCCTTGCTGATTCATAATTCATGTGGGATAAGAAGTCCATCACTTGTTCTAACACAATTTTATTGTAAAGTCTTACTTTTGGAAGAATTGATACTGTTGCTGTAAAGATGTTGAACTGTTCTACAATGGTTTCACTGGGTATCAAAACTTGACATAATTTAATCATCATTTCTGTAAACCTTAACTGATATTTTCTATTTTACTAATTACATTGCCTTTGCTTACAATGTAACATAAAGAAAAAAAAACAGGTACTGAAAAGCCTTTAAAAATCAGGTGATGAAAGTAAGGCAGCAATAATGGTATAATTATGTTAAAAATTAAAACAAACAAGGCAACAACAATTTCGTTGTCAATTAAACAAAAATCGGCCAGCAACTTTGGCATTATTTTAAAATATTAAAGAAATAACATATTAAGCAATGGCTTCATTAGTGAATTAAAAGAGAGGATTGAAAACAATAAATATTACCATTGTTCCAAGAAAAGATTTGAGACTTTATTGCATGTTTTTTTATCTGTATTACAGGTTGTAAGAATTTAGCAGAGGGTGAAATACTAAAAAATTTGTTTGAGAAACCATATTTTAGATGTTCTATATGTATGGATGTAGAAACTATTGAAATGTGTGGTGCTTTAAAGGTAATCTTTGATTTTTTTTTCTGAAAGGCTCATTATTGTCCAAATTGGAAAAAATTTAAGCCTGACTTTATAAAGAAAAGGTATAAAAAAGGTTCTGTACTTGCTTTGGTGCTGGCATCTAACTTTGGTTAGTTTTTGTGTGCAGTTGAAACTTCACACACTAACTTGAGAGCATAAAAGGGAGGTCACTGTCCAAGGCCCATAACTCTTACATGATTTTGACAGAATTTTGGCCCTTTTTGAACTTTCTATATTATCCAGGCTCGTTTTATATCAAGCACTGAGAATAGTTGAGCACGCTGTCATACTCAAAGCTCTTGTTGTGATTGAAAGCTGTTACTTACTCGTAACATACATACTGGTAATAAGCATCTTACAAGTTTTAAATCTCTCATTAAAACATTATGAAAATCATGTTTGCCTTTTTTTTCAGAAGAAAAATTATATTCATTTCTTAGCCTGTGGGAAAATGATCTGTTTTTTTTCTAGATTACACACATGTGTTGTGTTGTGTTGTAAAAAAATATTGAACAATTTTTGTGTCACAACCATTAAATGTATTGTATTTGACCTATTAAGTAAATAACTAAATAACTAAAACTCAAACTTGTTTTTTCTTAACAAATAAATTAAATAGGTCAATTAACCTTTCTAAAAGATGGCAAACAATGAGATATCACACAATATTTTATTGAATAATATGACAAATTATTCATGTCTCAGGTTTATATTGCAATACAAGGAATATTATTGACCACTTCATTATTTTTGGTAAACAAATCATTACATGTACCTTATGAAAATTTACTTACAGAATGTGGTTGGTATAGGGGCTGGTATTGTAGACGGTATGGGGCTCGGACATAATACCAAGGCAGCAGTGATACGACTTGGTCTCATGGAAATGGTCAAATTCGGAGAAATGTTTATAAAAGGTACACTAAAAACTAATATTTTTTAAAAAGTTAAGATGGATGAAATTTAACAAAAAGTAGCTGAACTTTTCAAACAAATGTAGGGCTATCCTTCTCACCCCAGCAGCATTTGCATTGACCTTTCGGTAAGTTTGAGGTTTTG